CAGGAGAGGTCTGCCACGCCATGTGGATCTCCTCCAGGGCAAGCGGGGATCCAACTCATGTGGAAGTGGCTTAAGCTTCTTTGTGCTGTGCTTTAACCCGCTGCGCCACCAGGGAGGGCCTGATATGACAATTTTTAAACGATGACTAATCATTAATTAGTTGTGTGAGCATGTGCAAATTACTTTACATCTTACTTTCTCATCTGTAAAGTAAGAGGTTTGAATAAGATGGGTATGTGCTTCCCAGTTTTAGAGTGCACTAATTAGAAGACACCATAGCTAGGAATTAGGAAGGCTGTAACTAGGTGAGTTAGATTTGTAAAATATATGACCTTTCATCTTGCCTCTATCATCCAGACACTGATTTAATACACTGCCTTGTTTATAAAAATGTGTTAGAACCCATTTCAGAAACAAAATAGAATCACAAAATCCAAAATTTTGAAGTGTAAGAAGGACTTCAAATTAAAAGATAATGCTAAATGGAAACTTGATTCTGGGGCCTCCCTGGTGGCACAAGGGGTTAAAGCACAGCACTCTGAAGGCTATGGGCAGCCACTGCACCACAAGTTTGATCCCCAACATGGCACAACAGACCTCCCCTCTCCTACCTGCTGCTCCCTTCAGCAGTGTATTTCAGTCAGTCTGCCTGTTCCATTCCTCACTCTGTCTCTAGTGAATCCTCACCCCTTGAACCTCTGACCTGTATCCCAGTTCTTGTATGCATAAGTAAATAAATATTTAAAACAAACAAAACACCCCCATTCTACACAAAGAAATGAAGAGTGCCAGATAATGTGGCATATGGGTAAATACGTAACTTTTTTTGATATCACAATATTTTTCAAAACCAATTTGTCTCTTTAAAGCAGAAATAATAAACCATCATGGGGTTTGTAATATATATGCCAAGCAATAGCATGAAAGATGAAAAGGAAGAAAATGGAAAATAGAATTATATTAGTTAATATCACACAATACATAAATTAGTATAATATTTTCAAGGGGATACTCATATATTACAATTTAATGTAAGTCCTAAAGAACTACTAAAACAAAATAAAAACTAAAATTACAAAGATAAATCAATAGAAGAGATGAAACACTAAAAAAAAAAAAAAAACCTCATTCCTAAAGACAGCAGAAACTGAGGAAAGCCTACAGGTCATCTGGAATTAATCCATATAAACAGAAAAATGCTCAAAAAAGACTGATATATATTATCCATTATTCCCTGTAAAGATGGGACTATCAATTTATTTTCTTCTTAAATTTTTATTTATTTACTTATTTTATCGAGATGCCATTGCTTTACAACATTACCATTAAGGATGTAGGGGCCCCTTGTTCCCATACCTCATCCACCACCAACACATCCACAATCATCCACCTGTCCATTCTGCTTCCTCCACACATTGTTTTGTCCACTCCTTCCTGCTCTCGTATTCTTGGCTTTATGGTCAGATTTCCACAATGTGCTCTTGCTTTGGCTTTACTTGACCCTTTGTTTTTTTCTTTATATCCCACAAACAAGTGGCACCATCTGTGCTGCTCTTTCTCCATCTGACTTTGCTTAGCATAATATCCTCTAAGTCCATCCATGTTCAAAAACTTGTCTTGTTTAATAGTCGTGTAGCAGCCCGTTTTGTATATATACTACATCTTCCTGATCGAGTCATGTGTTTTTGGGATTTAGGTTTTTTCCATGGTGTGGCTATTATTAATAGTACTGTAATGAATACAGACATGCATATATTCCTTTGAATGAGTGTTTTGTACTCTTTAGATAAATACCTAGCAGTGTACTCGCTGAGTCAGATGGCAGATCTATCTTTAACCTTTTGAGAAATATCCACACTGTTTTCCATACAGGCTGGCCCAATCTATATGTCCACCAACAGTGCAGGAAGTTTTCTTTCTCTTCACATCCTCACCAGTACTTGTTTCTGGACTTTTTGATATGGTTCTTACAGATGTGAGGTGATATCCCATCATGGTTTGGATTAGAATTTCTTTGACAATAAGTGATGATGAGCGTATGTTCATGTGCCTGTTGGCCATCTGTACATCTTCTTTGGAGAAGCATCTGTTTAGCTTTTCTGTCCATTTTTTGATTGGGCTATTTGTTTTCTTTTCCGTTGAGTTTTATGAGTTCTTTATAACTTTGGATGTTAGCCCCTTGTTAGATGTATGTTGTATGATATGCAAATATTTTCTCCCATTCAGTAGGGTGTGTTTTTATTTTAGTGATAGTTTTTCTCACTGTGCTGAACCTTTTCAATTTGATGTACTCCTGGATGTTTATATTCTGTTTTGTTTTCCTTGCCTTTTAACTGTCCTGATTTTTGTAGCACAACAAGCATTTTTTTATTTATTTACTTATATTTTTAACTATAAATTTTGAAAATTAAAAATCATAAAATCTAAAAACCAATTAAGAAATAATATTTTTAATATTAAGATCATCAATTTATTTCTTCTTTAACTTTTTCTTTATCTTTTTTTTTAACCTATTGTAGAATAAGAGTGATATTTTTTTAAAGATTTATTTATTTATTCATACAGAACTAGGGTACAGGCCAGAGATGCGGAGGGTGAGAGGATTCACCAGGGACAGAGTGGGGAGCAGAACAGGCAGATCTACTGAGACACACTGCTGAGGGGAGCAGCAGGCGGGTCAGGAGAGGTCCGCCGCCCATGTGGTCACCTCTGGTGCAGGCCGGGATCGAACTCATGCAGAAGTGGCTTAAGCCTCCCAGTGTAGTGCTTTAACCTGCTGCGCCACCAGAGAGGGCCTAAAAGTGATTTTTAAGGTAAAAATAGCAAAGGCTACAGTGAATCAACTAGGAAGACATCAAAAGAATTTTTAAAATTTGAATTCCAGGTACTTACAGAATTTGAAAATGTTAATATCTGAAAACTAACTTAGACTATAATGAAGGAAGACTGAGGTCCCCATCCACTGGCTGACTCTACTCCCATACTCTAGTCCCATACTCACAAGTGTGCTTAGATGCTTGACTCAGACCATTAAAGATATGGTGAGGATAATCTGATGAGGACCCACTTATCTTGGAAAGAAAAAGTGTTTATGTGCTGACAAATGGAAAGCTATATGAAAAGATTAACTTTTTTTCCCAAAAAAATTGGAAATAGAGGAATAGATCAAATTTCATTCAATGCTGCACATCTATTGGTCATGCATTGTATTATGCATTTATTTAATCCCTACAACAACCCTATGAGGTAAGTGAAAGCATCACCACCGTTAAGATGAGAAAGCAGCTAGTACATTAATAGTGAGAATGCAAAACTTAGGAGTGTATCTCTTAACTATGTGCTATAAATAATAAGACAAAATTTAGGTACACTTTGGCCCCTATGACAACAAAGGAGATAATAATTGCATTACCGATAATAATTGAATTACCATAATAATCAGTCCAAATTGACCTTGAAAATAGAATCTGCTTCATTACAAAAAAAAATATAATCATAGTGGTGAGAGGAACTTCATGAGGATGAGAGAGATAACATCAGTTTCTACCTTTAGGTAGGAGGAATCCTGTACCTTGCATAACTAAGTGTACTAAGTGTCTACTCTGTTGTAAAAGAATCTAACCTGGACTCCAGCAGGCACCCTTTAATCAGGCTCCCAGTGATCCTTCCCTCCTAGCATTCCAACATTTGCATAATCCCTTCTGCTTGAGTGTGGACTGAACTGAGTAACCACTTGGGACACATAGATTAATGCAAATGTGATGTGATATCACATTAAAGATTAAGTTAGAAAGACTCTGGACACAAGACTTACTCATCATCTTACCCTCTTTCATTCTAGCCCACTAGCTCTGACAGAAGCTTGACTGCCATTGTGAGCTGCCCTCTAAGAAGTCCCATGTGAGGAGGAGTGATATCTCCAGCAACCACCAGAAAGGACAAAGGCCAATGGACAGTCAGGAACATGGCCCTTGGTAGATGTCCTGCTTTCCTACTGGTGATGACTGCAGCCCCATCAGACATCTTGATTGCAACTTTGTGAAGAACTGTTGCTAGAAACACTCAGCTAAGCTATACCCAGACTTCTGAGCCACAAAAACTGAGGTAGTAATTTTATTTTTGCTTTAAAGCAGCTATATTTGGGGCTAATTTACCACACAAAAATAATAATTAATAGCAGTTTAGTCACTGATCTCCTTGAATGTACTTACAGTTCTTTGAAAAAATGTCTTCTTCCCCCTTCAAACTGAAATTCATTAATCCTAGCAGCCAGCTATTAGGAGGTATCTTCAAGATAATGCCTAGAAGCACATGGAAGGCCCTTAAGACCATTGCTAGCCTGAAGAAGAACAATTGGCTTCTTTACCTGCCTTGCTCCTTACTGCCTTCAGTATCTGGGTTAGTTTTACAGGTTACAGACTTTCTGTTCCATCTCCCAGCCACATCTCTGGCACTTCCTCACTTGGCTCCTTGTAAGCAAATGTGGCTGATCCCTTATACTTTGAGCATAGTTTCTTCAAAATTATATTTACAGTGTGCTTTTATATCCATCTAAACATTCATCATGACTTCTAGAACATTCTCTGTCTCATACTCTTTCATGGAGAAATCATTCATTTCTCAAACTGTGCTAAATAAGATCAAGTTACATTGTAGGTAATTTAATAATGTAGAATTCTAGAATAATAAAATGATGTAGTCATTTTATAATAACTATCTTTTTAATGGGCTATACGATAATACAATGTTATCATTTCCAATATATATATTTTAAAGATTTATTTATTTGTGCATACAGAACTGGGGTACAGGCCAGAGGCTCAGGGGCGGTGAGAGGCTTCACCAGAGACAGAGTGGGGAACAGAACAGGCAGATCGATGAAGTACACTGCTGAGGGGAGCAGCGGGCGGGTCAGGAGAGGTCTGCCGCGCCATGTGGTCACCTCCGGGGCAGGCGGGAATCAACTCATGCAGAAGCGGCTTTAGATTCTCAGTGCTGTGCTTTAACCTGCTGCGCCACCAGGGAGGGCCCATTTCCAATATATTTTTGACAGTAGGCAGTAAGCACTGCTCATTTCCTAAAGGAAAGTTTGAGTACTGGAAAATTAGAAAGTGATAATTAATTATAAATCACATAATAATATAGTTGTTGTTCTATTCATGAATGAATTTGAGATGCTCTCTAAATCAAGCATTTTTCTTATATTCACAAAATAATTGTACAACATATATTTACTGAAAAAACATGAACAGCAAGGTACTATAGTAGGCTTTATGGAAACATTAAAACATGAAACTAGAAACATTTGTGAGAAATATTTTTAACAACTTTTCCCTCCAATTCTGCCATGCTCTTGTGAAATAAGTTAGAAAGACATTTGTCTTCCTTATATATTTTCCTTGATCCTTCAATCACTATGAAAAATTAAAGCTTTTAAAAAAAGACATTATATATATGTACATATATATATATAAATCATGTTTTGTTCTTCAAACACATGATATCATTTCATTTAAAAATTACTAAAATTTGCATTTTGTATATATTTCAAGTTTTTCAAGAGTATTTAAGAGTTTGAATATTTATTTCATGAAAAAAAATTTTTTTAAATCTTACATATTACTTCGTACCTCTTCTTCATACATTATATGAGCATATTTAAAGCAAATAATCTCTGACAAATGTTTTTTGAAGATTTATTTATTTATGCGTACAGATCTGGGGTACAGACCAGAGGTGCAAGCGTGATGAGAGGAGTCACCAGAGACAAAGTGGGGAGCAGAACAGGCAGATAGACAAAGTACACTGCTCAGGGGAGCAGAGGGCAAGTCAGGAGAGGTCTGCCACACCATGTGGGTCACCTCTGGGGCAAGGATCAAACTCATGCTGAAGTGGCTTTAGCTTCTTAGTGCTGTGCTTTAACCTGCTGTGCCACCAGAGAGGGCTGACAAATAAATATTTTAGGGCATTTCCAACTTGCTTTCTGACCTTACACCCCCAAGAAAGTCAGTTCCTTGGAAGAGGGAATTTTTTTTTAGCATATGTAATAGTTTATTTTTACATTATTTTGTGCATTTTCCCATCTCATTTGCAATCTCCTTGGGCCTCCCATCACCAAATCACCCATGTGCCATCATCATAAGAAAGAGGGAATTTTTATCTGTTTGGTTCACTTCTGTATCCCCAATGCATCCCCAGTGCTAGGGACAGTGAATGCAGGGTACATAGTGATGCTCAATAAATAGTGTTGATGGAAGAAATGATTTTGCAGATTGGAAGAACAGGGTTGGGTTTTGTTGGCATTCTTCTTCTTGTTGTTCAGCCATCACATGTAGATGAATGCAGAAAAGATGTTCTTTCCTGCTGTTAAGATTCTGGCTTTCAGCTCCCATAAAAGAATTATATTTTGCTTTAAATACAAATAAATATGAAAATGTAGTTAAAGGCCTGAAGTCAAAAGAAAGAAAAAAAACCCCTTCCTCAACCTGTTATTTATCTTAATCTTCTTTAGAGTTAGTCTTTGCAGTCCTCATTCCCTTAAGCACCTTCTAAGGATGAACTAGATCAGATTCAAAAAGATAAAAGGAAGTGAAAGCCTCAGATTAAAAAGTGAGCTAACTCCCAAGTCGTGGCACTGGGCCGCAGTGTGTACAAGCAAGAGAAGGGTAAGTTACTCATAATAAGCTAAGATGTATTTGCTATTGGGTCTCACCTTGCCTTTTACTCCTTTGTTTCTTCCCTCACCTGTGTTCTTCTTTCTCCTTTCCTCCCTCATTTCACTCTTTACCTTGATTTGAGGAATTTCTAAGAAGCTTGGAAGCTGAGGGGCAGGTACTTTCTTCCTATTGCATTTATTTCCACTGGCATTATGCACACACATGCTCACACACATGCATGAAATGAGGTACTTTTCTCTGGAGTCTGTTTTTAGGAAAAAAGGATAAATTATATTTTTAAAAAGAGGTATAGCAACTTTTTTTCTCTTAATAATAATTTGCAATCTATATCTTAAGATTTGTATACATTTAGACCCCAAATCAGTCTTTTCTCAGCCATATCTACATCTCCAGAATGGTAAGAAATTTCATAATTTGGAAATATAAATTTATATAATCCCTTAGTAGTTTGCAAATGTTATCTAATTTCAATCCTCACAATAACCCTATACAATTATAATCCAGTCACCAGTCACAGAAAGAAAAATCATAGGGACTTCCTTGTATTTTCACTCATATTTTATTTAAGCACAATACATGTTGAAAATCACATCTGATTTTCATTGAAATTTCTTAGGCAGTTAGATGTGGGTATGAACGAGGGAATGTGTTTTCTTTGAATTCTGTAGCTTTTCTACTCATTTCTTTATGTTCTTTTTCTTTTCTTAACCATATGTTTTTGTATTATATTAATAAAAAATGTGGGATCCCTTGCTGGGGGGATTAGGCTTGAGGGAACTTGTTATATGTTTGGGGAGGGTGGAGAGTAAGCATTCCGCTTCATCTTTCCATTGTGCTATCACATTTCTCAGTCAATTCTGGTGAGGGTAGGAAATGATCATAAAATGTTTCTATTATAATAAGACTGTTTTCTTTATTGCCAATTTGACCATTATTTGTGTAAATGTGGCAAGGCTTATGGTAGTAGATCATGTGAAATTAAATGAAAATTATTAGGCCTTCAAAGCAAAATAATGTCAATGTATAAATGTTATTTCTAAATTACCTAAATATGATACATTAATTTGAATGCACTTAGTGTCAACACACAAGGTAGATAATTAAATGGGGTGTCAAAGTTTTTAGTTCTTTTTGGAGGATGGTGATTTTATTTTATTTAAATTCTTATAATCACTCCAGTAGGTTCTGCTGACTTACTTTCCTAGTTTTCCTCTGTCCTGTCAATTCCTCTTAGAGTCTGCTTGAGAAGGGAATGTAGGTAAAGAAGCATTAACCTAATTCCTTACCAAAATTCCAACTACATCAAACCCCAACAGTTTGACTCCCTGTTATTCTACCAAAGAGAACAGAGACAACTAATTCCTATATTCACTAGCTATTTCTCTAAAGTGATGTTTGACCTCTTGCTTTGCAGATATCATTGGAAGTGAAACCATATGTAATTTCCTAATGACTCAATCAGCCCCTCTTACATGGAGAAGTTAACCTGTATGGCATGAGATTTGTCCCCTATGAGAAAAGGGATAATCAGTGAAAATCAGTCACTCTCTGAAAAACATTTCTCTTTGGAAGTAACCTCTGAACAGTCTCCTTGGTCATGTGATCATTTAGCATGACCTGCTGAAAGCTTCTATAGACAACAAGAATTTCCAGGAAATCCATGGAATTTCCAGTACAGTGAACAACCACCTGTCCATGAAATACCAATATCTAGGTTACAGCAGTGTCCAGCCTCCTTCCCTCTATTCCTTTTCTCTAAAAACTTCATGTCAATGTACTTAGCTCATTGCTCGGTTTTAGAGAACTTAAAAAACAAATAATCTTTCTGAGTCATTTCAACTGGCCCTTTAGTACTTTCAGCTACTCATAAGAGGTCACCACCTGGCCAAATCATAGCCACTTCCTTCTAGCTTTTCTAGATTTACCACCCCTCTTTTTTGTGTGTTTTCCTACTATTCTCATTTCATTACTTTTAGAATGACTTTTTTGCTCCCCTATATTTGACAACAGTTCCCACGGTCATATTCATCACTCATCCCTCCTCTCTTTCCACAAAGTTCACCACTAATTAGAAATGGTAATCTTCAGCCTTGGTTATAGCCGCCTAAGTCTTTAACCATTTAAAGGAGCCTTGGTTGCTGTATCAACAAAGGGACATAAGGCTTAGACTGATCCTCATTCTTATACTTCGTGGAAGTATGAGCTCTAGGCAAGATCTCAATGCTACAGGTCAAAATCTGGCTAGTAAGACATTGGTTCAGCACTGGGTTAGTATGCATTCTCATTTTGTTTTTTTCATACAACCTGGGTTATTTGTGGCAACATGGTGGAAGCTGAAAGGGATTATGCTAAGCAAAATAAACCAGAAGGAGAAATTATAGCATCACTCATATATGGAATACAGAGAAACCAAAAAAAGGGGGCCAGGCAGGGACAACTATTAGAGCCAACCCTGGAAAGCCGAGCACCTTAGATCTGAGATGTGGGGAATGAAGAGAGCAATGGACTATGGTACAAGACTGTGGGTACTTTGGGGGTAGGAAAGTAATGGTGACCACCAATGAGGGAAGAAATCCTATACTGTTAAAATAATAACAAGGATGTATTACAGTGAAACTTAAATTAAAAAAAAATAAATGAAAACATAAATAAATTTCAAAAACTGGGGAAAAAGAACAACAAAACTTGGCATTTATAGTTATTTTCTTATCCTATTATTCCAGATTAACTATTCCTCAGAAGGAAGTGTTTCCAGGCTGGTGGAGAAACAAAACAATGTGCTCAGAAAAAAATTCATGTGAATTTCACTCCTAAATGGGTCACTAAGCAAATTGCCATGTTAGAAGTACAGATATATTGGCCCTCCCTGGTGGTGCAATGAGTTAGGACAGAGCACTGCAAGCAGGCCATAGACACTTAGATCTCCAGCCCCGGAGGTGACCACATGGCATGGCAGACCTCTCCTGGCCCGCCTGCTGCTCCGCTCTGCAGTGTACTTGTTGATCTGCCTGTCCTCCGCTCAGCAGTGTACTTGTTGATCTCCCCACTTTGTCTCTAATGAATCCTTTCACTGCCCATCACCTCTGGCATGTACCCCAGTTCTGTATGCATAAATAAATAAATCTTAAAAAAAAAAAGTACAAATATTGCTGAATAATCCTCAAGTCTGGATTCTCTGATGAAGATTCTCTGAAATCACAGTAATAAAAGACAGAACAGTGATCCATTTACTTCTTAGAGTCACTTGTTTCCCCCACTCCTTCAAAGCAACTCATAAAAAAACAGCACAACATTTCACCATGCCACATGACACCACAAAACCATCTTCATTTAAAGATTCTTTGGCTTAGTTGGTCACCACAGGGTGAATAAGCAGATTTCTATGCTCTTTGCATATTAGGTAAAATTTTGAAGATAAA